AACGTTGCTTGAGAAAGCCTACGACTCTGCTGAGGAGGCCCCGGGATCGACAAGCTCATCAGACTCTAGATCCTTGAAGAGCCTGGATTCCGCAACCACGTTGGTGCTGGGCAGTCAGAGCAGAGAGAGCCTGGAGGATTCATCCGATCGCGAGGAACTCCCCAACGCGAAGGGCATCGAGGTTGAGGACACCCTCGTGAAGACGGTTCAGGAAGATCCGGTTCCGGAAGACAAGCCAAGCAGGGTGGTTCCCCAAGACAAGCCGAGCACGGTGGTTCCCGAAGACAAGCCGAGCACGGTGGTTCCCGAAGACAAGCCAAGCACGGTGGTTCCCGAAGACAAGCCAAGCACGGTGGTTCCCGAAGACAAGCCGAGCACGGCGGTTCCCGAAGACAAGCCGAGCACGGCGGTTCCCGAAGACAAGCCGAGCACGGTGGTTCCGGAGCCAAGCACGGTGGTTCGCGAAGACAAGCCGGCGAACACGGTGGTTCCCGAAGACAAGCCGAGCACTACGGCGGTTCCCGAAGACAAGCCGAGCACGGAGGTTCCCAACAAGCCAGTTCCCGCACGGGTTGCACAGCCGAACGGTCCAGATATGGCAGCAGGCGGAGGATCGGCAGTACAGGTGAAGCAGGAGCAGCAGGACGAGGCCGATGTCGATATCGATGACAAGTGGCGGAGGGACAAGTACGGGGCACTCCTATCTCCGGCTGCCTTGTATGCCAGATTCTATCGCTCCGGGAGGAGCCTGTTTCTCAGAAAGGAATCGTGATTCGGTCCTAGTGTGCTAGCTATATAAACACGATAAGGCAGCAAAGCGCCACCAGAAGTTCGCGAGAAGATGGCTGACGCAGAGCGAAGAGTCTTATCGGGAAATAGTATTTGGTTTAGGGTTTAGGCTTTGTGGCTTCGGGTTTATAGGGCTTAGGGGTTTAGGGTTTATATATATATATATATTATATATATATATATATATACATGTACATATATATATATATATTATTAATAGTATTATAAATTATATATGCATAATACGTATGTACACACCGAGGCAAAGATCGCAACCATCGCATGCACGAGATGTATATGCAGTATCTGTCCTGCCGGGCCGAGTGGACGAAGAGCTTCATCGTGGTGTCCGTGAGGCCGCCAGTGCATTAGTGTGATCAAGCAATTTGCACGCTTAAGCTCAACCCTAAACCCCAATCGCCCTAAACCCCAATCGCCCTAAACCCCAATCGGCCTAAACCCCAATCGGTTTTGGGACACTTTGGCCTTGGGGGATCTACGGAGTGGGTCTGCTGGGGGTTTGGNNGGCTTAGGGGTTTAGGGTTTAGTAAATGGTTGTATATATCAACTAGATCATGATCATATATATATATATAATTATATAATTAAATATATATATATATTATATATATACACATATATATATATATATTAATTTAGAATAGTACTAGTATTATATGTATATATGTGTATGCATAATACGTATGTACACACCGAGGCAAAGATCGCAACCATCGCATGCACGAGATGTATATGCAGTATCTGTCCTGCCGGGCCGAGTGGACGAAGAGCTTCATCGTGGTGTCCGTGAGGCCGCCAGTGCATTAGTGTGATCAAGCAATTTGCACGCTTAAGCTTATCAGTAATATTATTATGCCCTGACAACCTAAAGGCGCTAAACCTCAACCCTAAACCCCAATCGCCCTAAACCCCAACCGGCCTAAACCCCAATCGGTTTTGGGACACTTTGGCCTTGGGGGATCCACGGAGTGGGTCTGCTGGGGGTTTGGGGTTGGGGGATTGGTGTTTTGACTTGGGGATCTAGGGGCTCGGGGTTTAGAGGTTCAGGGTTTAGGGTCAAGGGGTTTAGGGTTTCAGGGTTTAGGGCTTAGGGTTTAGGGTGTAGGGCTTAGGGTTTAAGATTTGCGGTTTAGGGTTCTAGGACCTAGGAGTGTACTGGGCAGAAGACTGCGAATTGCATTGCAGTGGCTAAACCCAAGAGCCAATCCACCTTGCCGGTCTAGGAGTTGCAATTCTAGTGTTTGGAAAGTGTCTCGCTCTAGATCTGATTCCAAGATAGGCCTGGGCCGCTACTAACCTAGCCTTCCAACACACCTAAACCCCCCGCAACCTAAAGGCCCTATCGCCCTAAACCCCAATCGGTTTAGGACACTCTGACCTTCGGGGATCCGCGGTTTGTGATGTAGGACCTAGGAGTCTAGTGGGTACAAGACTGCGAATTGGTTGTAGTACAAACCCCAATCCACCTTACCGGTCTAGGAGTTGCATTAATTCTATCCTATAGTGTTTGCTGTACAGATCTGATTCCAGCATAGGCCTCTAACCAAGCCTTCCAAAATCACTAAACCCCGGAACCCGCCCGAAACCCCCCCGCACTAGTACTGTGCCGGAAGACCCAGGGCAGCCCAAGCTTCGCAACACCGAATCCGGCCTTCAGAGTCAAGGGGAATCGGGGAGCTAGGGCTTGTTAAGGCTTTGGGGTGTCGGGTTTAAATCCTGGGCCTGGGTTTTAAAGTTTTGTCTTCTGCTGCAAGGTCTTCCAGGAGCAAGAAGTCCGAGGAGATCTACGCCTGGAAGACCCTAAAGGTTCTCAGGGCCGAGTTGGGCGATGCTTTGGCCAACGATCTTTTCGCCCGGCACATGGAAGTCGACCCCAGGATGACCGGCAAGCTGCTTCAGCCCCATCCGAACTTCCCCAAAGTTGAGGAGACGGCTTTAAGGGTTTTTGGCGAGGTAGGGCAGGCTCCCATATACGGTGGGGATCTCTAGGCTTCCGATTCTATTATTGTAACACTTCCAGGAAATGACCCTGCTGAAGAGCTTCGACACGATCAAGGATATTTCAGCCAAGAAGTTTTCTACTTCTGCGGGATTCCATATGGAAGCAGAAAATGTGGATGAGGAGGATATGCACGGTGCAATGTGGCTTGTCGTACTAAACATATACACACTCGACGTA